TAATCATTCTATACTTTTCCTCCTAATCAATTTTATTTCACTTGGTTTGCATTTCTTTTCTCTTTTGCCATATTTGACAGAGAGGAGAAGTGCACAAAGCCTGTGACCGGGCTCATTTGAGAACTTTGAAGCTCCACGCTCTTGTCATAACAAGGCCACCGCTCATTTTGCCTGGCAGAGTGCAGGTGAATAGGGGCACCAGATTGTTCTGTCAGAAACAGTAGTTTTTCGGAATATCCATCTTTGCCTCTCTACTTCCTTATCTCTTAAATCTTCCCAAGGTGTAAATGACAGCTAATTGGTTTGTCTGCGTCATTTACATTGCCCTTTTCCACCTTGTCTGCATATAATAGCCGCTGACACTGAAGCCATAGTCCTGCACTTGATGGTCACAATTTTGAATCAGTTTAGTGATTCTGTGGTCCTCTCAGTGTTAATGAGTTACTACAAAAGATAGGGAAAGATGGATGCCATTGGGGCTTTTCAAAAAGAGCATTTCTGAGATGCAAGTGTCAAGAAACATCTTGCCATGCTGTTATTGTCCATTTCTGGAATGGTGATTTCCTGATAGTCTATCCTTCCTCAGCCTAATATTACAAAATAGTTTTGTCTGGTGTGGAAGAAGCAGGTGTTATTGTGCATGAGAAAGAAGGACATCCACTTTCAATTGCAGTGTAACCTGAATTGTTTGCTGGGGCCACATCTATGACTGACACTTTCAAGCCCAGTGTACTTTTTATTAGCACTTGAGTCTAACTGCAACATGTTTCTTGGGGCAGTGGGAACTATTTGTGGCTTTTGAACAGGTCTTACTCCCTTCTACTCCCTTCATTTCCCTTTCTTCTGCTCAGCACTGAAAAATTGATGTACAGCACAACAGAAACAAACCAAAACAACATCCATTTCTCTTTGACATGTTGAAATGAATTAGCATGACCAACTCTCTTGGATAATTGAGAATCTGGTGTGGGGTAATTTCACTCTGTCCTCCACCTATTTATATGTATTTGCCTTACAAATAGCAGAGAAGAGAACAAAATCCAAATGCAAGGGAGATAGGGAAAGCTACAGAAAACTGAATGCAGACTTCCAAAGAATAGCAAGGAGAGACAAGAGGGCGTTCTTAAATGAACAGTGCAAGGAAATAGAGGAAAATAATAGAAAAAGAAAAACCAGAGATCTGTTCAAGAAAATCAGAGATATTAAAGGAACATTTTGTGCAAAGATGAACATGATAAAGGACAAAAATGATAGGGACTTCACAGAAGCAGAAGACATCAAGAAGAGGTGGCAAGAATACACAGAGGAATTATACCAGAAAGATTTGGATAACCCGGACAATCCAGATAGTGTTACCTTGAGCCAGACATCATGGAGAGTGAAGTCAAGTGGGCCTTAGAAAGATGGTCTAACAACAAGGCCAGTGGAGGTGATGGCATTCCAGTGGAACTATTTAAGATCTTAAAAGATGACGCTGTTAAAGTGCTACATTCAATATGCCAGCAAGTTTGGAAAACTCA